GTATAAAAATTTAAAGATGTTTTTGTCCAACATGAGAGTGAGAAAGACAGTAAGCGCGTGGATAAACAACTGACAACTTAAGGAGCAGACAATATTTACCTCAAGGTAAAAATTTTTACATCCAACCTTCAAGTTACCAGCAGTAGCTGACGCTCTTGCGTGCGCACATGGATATAGTTCTCACTGCTTACCGACTAAGCTCCAATAACAATGTGGCAACGTCGCGAGTTCATGCGGGCGTGCTATAGCCTTCCAACCCCATTTAGGGGTAGTTTGGAACGTATTTTCAATCGGCTCCTATTTAAAAGCGATTTGCCCTAAAAAATTAATTCCAACGGGGTTCGCGTCAGAAAAAATCGCTCTACACGTGGTTCTCGGGAAATGCCACGGTTACATATCATGCTGTATTGTGCAATCTCAAATGATCAATTTGAATTTATCAAGGACAAAGAAACGGCCGCGAGCATAATGAATAAGTTCGATGAGATGTATCTAAAAGAATCTACTGCACTACAAATTTGTGTGAGGAACAAATTAGAAAGATTGTGTTTGCTACCTCGCCATACATTTATTTTATTAACAGTACCATCTTATACCATTTTGAAACTGTTGGGTCACCAGTATAAATACAAAGTATTGAATCATTTAACAATTATCATGTAACTTGTGTGCTGCATACGTGAATGTCTCAAATATTTGGCAACAGAGCAGCCACATATATAGCCATATGTGAGCGTGTGTGTATAGCAAATGTATTGCAACTATGACGAGCTGATCGACACTGTTACCATGTCTCAGTAGAACATAATAATAAGCCTTTGCTACATTTAAGCGTTATGCGTATTTTGAACACACTAACAGATGATGCATTGTAGATAGGTCTCTGGGTGATAGACTACCTTAAATATTGAGAAATATAATTTCACAAGAGGCAGCGATGTAGGCCAGAGTTTACGGAGAAATATAAAAAAATATTTGCCAAAAAACTAGGTAAAGCATACTGCACAAGAGCGATAGAAAAAAAAAAAAAAAAAAGTTAAATAGGACCAAATGGACTGGTATAACTTAAAAAGAAATCATTTATGCAGTTTCTTACATTCAAACACTCCATTTTTTAATATATTCTTGACACAGCGCAAAAAATGTTGTAAGCAAATCAAAGTAATAATTAAACAGTAACGACAAAAATAGCCGAGTGCTAAAACAGTAATAGAAATAAGTGCTACGAAAGTTTTACAATCAAAAATATGTTTAGATTTTTATAAGGCATAGAAAAGATAGTGATACCAGCATAATGGCAAAAATTTTATGCGTAAATATGCAAGAAGCTAAAAGCGAGTTGCTTATATTACTAAAGAAAATAGAGAAAATTTCGAGTATATGTTACATAAGAGCAAAATAATTAAATAATTTCAAGAAAACAGAAACAGCCTTAAAAGAATCAAAACTATAAAAAACTATGCATCTAGCCAGTTAGGGTTTAACAAGCTAGTTAAATAGCTTGGATAGGATATAAGTCAATAAGTTACTAGGTGCTTAGTGATAGGTCGTTTACATTAAATAATGTATGTCCTAACACATGTTTGGTAAGAAAGGTGTCGATATAAATGTCAGTGATCTTTTCTTGTTTAAGGAGAAATGAAAAATTGTGCAGACAATGTTTTATCCAAGCCAATAGGCAAACGACAAAAAAATGTATAACGTAAAGTTTCATAAGAAACAGTCATAGCACAGTTTGCTAATATGTCTTCACTCAGTTGAGGTATGACTGCTCCAACAAAACACGTGTTTAGGCCAAGATGCTCAGAGCCCTGTTTAAAAAAAAATGTAGAAGTCAGTTTTTTTTTTATTTTAAAGCCTTCGGTAGTGTGTATTAATGAAAATAAAAAAATTGTTTTAGGCAACAGAATTTATTCAGAAAATTTTATTGCGGACTAATCACGGAATGAAAAAGTACTTTTTTGATCGTAGCGTTCTTCATGTTAGATTTACTGTAGAATACCAATGAATAAAATGTAGGTATCCAAAAGACCTATGAAATAAGCAATGATGGTTAACAACCAGATAAATAATCATAAATGATTAACAAAGCATTGAGAAAATCTATGAATGTACTTCCACTGCGGCTCTTACATGGCACAATAAAATCCTAAAAAGGGTTGTATGATAAACTGTTTTTGCTTCATTGCGATAGTTTAATAGAAGATACGTTTTCAAAAGCACATGTATTGCTCGAAAAGAAGTCATACTTTATCTAAAAAGAGCTCATTAAGTTAGTCAAGAAATATGCTTGAGATCTCTCATTTTAATTAAGTAAATTTTTTAACAAATCACGTGTAACATTACCTTAAGAAAACCACTTCATTACAAATTGAATATTATTTATAATGTAAGTTCCATAATAACTCAACTTTTTTTTATAGAAAAGCTTGAATTGTTCTTGACATTAAAAAAAAATTTTTTCCCATACCCCCGCTGAAAGTATAACTCAGTTTCCTTTTTTCAGGAAGCAAATTCGCAACATTCCTCCTAGATAAAAAATCGCATATACTGCTCAGAGAAAAAGTGTTTCGATACCCTCTGCATGGTTGCCTTTTTTTGGGTGGCAACGAATCTAGGAGGAAACGCCTTACTTTTTATCTTTGGTACGTAAAATACTATTTATCTATGACCATAGAAAGTAGACAATTATTACATTTTTTTTTTAAGTGTCACAACTTTGTTTATCAACATTAACAGTTGGGATTCACAAATGTTACTCTTGAAAACTTTTGTAGAATTTAAGGGAAGAATTCACTCAATGGTTTTCAAATGTTATTTTCTAGTATTTACATGTATTATTATGATTATAAGAATCGTTTAACTTTTTTATGTCTCAAGATAATTTATGTTCATTACTTAATATCACTGAAAGTTGTTTTAGTTCTTAAACCATTAAATGCAAAGACTTTCTATACCTGTGCAGTTGATCTAGTTGGATTAAGGGCATACAGTTGGGACATCTGCGGTGTCTGAGTCTGTAAATGCGTTTGTTTACCCATATCTTGCGAAGAAGAATGAATAATTGGACCAGACGAGATGGATGATCCTTGGATCGTAGTTGGAATGGTGTTTCCTAAAACTGCAGAGCCATTGGAATTTACTCCAGGGTACAATGAAGTACTCTGCCTAATTTGTTGTAAACTAACTATAGAAGGTCTTCTTCCCCCTGACGCTCCAATAGATATCCCGCCTCCAACTGCCTGCCCACCTGGTTGGGCGATGTAATTTTTTCCAGGAACATGAAAGTCTGATCCTAAAACGGGACATACAAATATATCAAAGATGTGTATCATAAAAAATAAAAACAAATCACAACTATTAATAAATAAGTAGTTAGCATGTCAGTCTCTTAGTCTAAAGAATATTAAAGAACATGAGTTACAGTATTCAAAACTACTACAAAGCATTTTTCTGTAATTCTTTGGCAAAAAACTATTTAAAACTTGAGCTAGGGGTAAGTGTACCTATCTCCGTGCTCTGCCCTATTACCGTGGATTTTGAAAAACTGATGATTACTCGCTCAAAATAAGAAATGTTTCATATAAAATAATTTTTCAATTTTAATAATCTAAAATGACGTTAATGTAGATGCAATTCAAACACAAATATTTGTGTATATTTTGAGTAAATAATTATTTTCCACGGTATTCGGTACAACGCGCTCATTAACTGATTGTGTACGTATTTCCGCGGTGAGCGTACCTAAACATAACCCTATACTTATCTGCGGTAATACGTACACGGTAATAGGTACACAACCACGGTAATACCAGGATACCGTTTTTATTCGTTTTAAAAATATTCTACTGCAGTTTTAGCTTCATAAAATTTTTTCAAATATTCCGTAAGAGATTATGTAAGATTAACAAAAAAAATATTCCAAAAAATTTTAGTATACCATTTTTATGGTGCATTTAAGTTGGAATATCCAGTACGTGCCACGGAGATAGGTACACTTACCCCTACTGATAAAAGATTTTTTTTTAGTTCACTGACAAAGTTTTCATTTTTTTTCCTTACTCTAAGACTTTATAGTTCTATAATAGCTGAAAGTAGGATCACCTTTAAAAGATAAATTCATAGATCTTGTGACTGCGTGTGCACTAGCAGCGGCTAATTGACAAGCATAACTACAACAAGTTGAGTTCAAAGAAATAACTGTAATGAAATCTCGTCCACAAATAAAAATTGTATTATAGTGTATAAAATAATTATTTTTTCAGTATAATAACGTAGATTATGAAGTTAAAAGAAACTTATTCATCAAACTCTGATAGCTAGTCAATCACCAATACATTGAGTAACACATCTACGGAATATAACATTGAATCGCAATAAAAAACTTAAGGGCTGTGAGAAAAAAATTAAAAATTTTCCATTTGATTAATAAGTCAATTCGATTTTGTGGCTTTATTATGTTATTTAATAAATAACAAGCTAAGGTAAAGGAGGATAAATCCGGACACTTAAGAATTTGAGGGTACAGCCAGACAGCTGTAAAGTTTAGTTTGGATCACAATAATTTAGGTAAGTAACAGTAGACAAAAATATTTTTGAACTCAGCAGATGAATATCTAAGTAAATTATTTAAGTTTTTAGTGTGAACCTTAAGTATTATAAAATAAATAAATTATTTGGTATGCCACTCTTCCTCATTTAAATTTCTGGACCGTCCGAGATTACCCTCCATTGCATAACATAAAATTTGAATTACGCAGTAGTCGGACACACTAAAATACATGATAAGCGAGTCTTTTTACAGAATTATAGCATAAAAAGTTTGCAAGTATCCAAACTGCATTAGAAGTGGTCACGATACGTAACTTTTGCAAGAATATTGTGCAGTAGTCATTTAATTTATCATATTACAAGCAGCGTAACTACCCTGAAAGCGTACATAAACTGATGAGTGTACATATCTCCATTTAATCAACATTACTGTCCAAGTAATGATCTTCGTATCTCACTACTGCTTCTTTTCCTATGAGTCCTTATCTTCAGGCGCAAACGACTTTAAATTTTAAAATTAATTACTTAATAATTTTTTATTGGAAACAATAATTTCTATTTTAATCAATGCAAAAAACGTTGTTAAATTGTAAAAAACGATTTTTTTGTTGTAAAAATGTGATATTTTGTAGAAAACGGAAGGATATTACTTGTTTCTTCCAAACTGTCCAGATATCGACGCCTCGTACGAAGACCAGCACCGTTCAGATTTTTCAAAGTTAATTTAAATAGGAAAATATGAACTGCGACGTATATGTACGAGATATGTACGAGACGTCGATATACCTAACTTAACCTTATTTCATTAAAAAATAAAAAATTTAAAAAAAATTGAAGCACACTTTTGACATTTCAGAAAATATAAGCTTGAACTTGGCAAGACTTAGTAAGAATTAAACGAAAAAGACAAAAAATTAAACGTTAATCGAACGACGCACAATCTGATTTTTTGTTTCTCTTCTCTAAATTGGAGATCGGAAGGGTAAAAACTGATTTCCATAATGTTAACTAATAAGAAATATCTTAATAAATTTATTTACATAGTTTACATTTTTAATGCAATTAATTGACTAAAGAGGACTTGTTGCATATTTATGACAATTTTGAATTTGATTTTGGTGAAACTAATCGCGATTAGGAAGCGAAAGACAGAAAATCAGATTATGTATTCTTTACAATTCGCATAATTTTTTGTCTTTTCCCTTTAATTCTTCATTAATCTCACTAAGTTTAGGCTTAAATTATGCTATAGAATGGCAAAAATGAGCGTTGACTAGTTTTTTTAAAATAAAATTGCTAGTAGTTTTATTATTCATGTTATAAAGCAATATAATTAAATCAACCATATCGATAATATGGACAACTTGAATTTTCTTCGGACAGCTCTTGAAGAAAATTTATTTTTCCGAAGAATCAATCCACGACATCCATTTTTTACCCTAAAGTTTTTCTTTGTGGTCAGCGTTAATGTATTTACTATTTCATGATAGTAAGGAAAAATCAATGAATTTTAAAGAGTTCAATAGTATTTAGGATAAAGTAAATGGAAAGCTATTACCACAAAAAAATTTATTTTAGTGAACAATACGAATGTATGTACTTTTATAGTAATATTCTTTAAATCATACAATGTGTTTGTCGATTCTTAACAATTTTACTGTATTCAATATTTAGTTTTACCACCTAAATAATGGTAAAGGCTACCCCAAAAACTATTTTTAAGTCTTGAAAATTTTAAAAAGTGGAATAGTATTTTTTTTTCTTTTTTTTTACAGAAAAATTTATCGCCATAAGAAATCTTGTTTAAACATGTTTCGACGTAAAATTACCTTAATTTCTCAATAAAATTATTCTTAAATCTCAAAAATTTTATTTAAGTGTCACGAAACGAATTTATGTCAGAAGAGTTTAGTTTTTACGACTTTCTCCCATTTTTTATTAAAAATAGATCTCACTAATTTCTAGTCAAATGTTACTCTGGAATAGGCTTTACATGTTTGAGAAAAAAACGGGAATAAAATAGTAAAGATAAAAAGAAAACCAGGGCAATCTCAATTTAAAGTAAAAATGTACCTAACCAATATGCACGCAGAATCATATTGAGTAACAATTACTGATTAATATAATCGTAACAGATTCGCTTTTTCTAATACGTTGACATAAGGATAAAAAAAAATTTTTTTACTGTACACAGCAAGTAAGGATAAAATAGATTGTTAGAAATTTTTCCTAATTGAGATTTACTTTAGCACTTATATAGTTTTACCATAACCATGATGGGTAATTTTTTTACAAACTGAGCAGATTTTGACGAAAATTAATCGGTACTTTTTCAATTTGACTAAAACTTTTTTTATTGATTTTATAAAAGATTTTCTAAAAAAAAAGAGATACGTGTCTGAGAAATTTTGTTTGCATATTAAAAAAAATAGAAGTAATCAACCATTTAATAAAGGGGATTTTTTAGTTTGGAGACTCATTTTTAAACATGTATGGTTTTGAATCTATACGAGCAACAAAATTTCCACTAATAGCTCTTTTTCAGCTGAAGGGCTAAATTTCAAGAGAATATTTTTCATAAAAAATATTAGTGCTCACAATTTTAATAACAACAATGGTATAAAATATATGTATTTATCG